AAGTTGTCACGTTTCAGAGGCAGCCAATGGCTTACCCTGCATAGACGAGCTAGTCATGGCTTTTACCGTTATGAAAAGGCACGCCATAGCGCTTAGCAGCCAACCGAGTAAAGTACTCAGTTTGGCGTACACTTATAACGAATGTTTCTGTTCCACAAAACTGAGGATTTGGCTAAGTCTCATTCAGTACCATGAGGCAGTCTGACTGCAATTCAAGGTAACATGGACACCCATCTGGCCAGCTTCTGCTTTTCCAAAGTAGGGTGTCAAGTGAGACGTGTAATGGAAAATGGCAAAAGAAGTGCCCAGGATAGGAAACCTCTCATGTTTCCTTCCAGCTAGAGAAGAAGCAGATAAACCACAGTCCATACCTTTACCAGCATGTGTCCCGATAGAAAGGAGTACTCAAGATGGTCTGTGCTTCTGTTGCCCCCAGAAGTCCACCTCAGCGCCAGGGAGTCTGCCACACTGTTGCTACCCATTAAACATTGCCACCATTTGTTTGGTTTCTTTTGCTTCCATTTCAGAGACACCATCCTTCACTTGTGCTGGCTGCTTCACCTTCCACCTCAAGCTTTTTCCACCCATTCACTTCACAGCTTCCCTTCTGATCCTTCTTCAGCCATTATCCCCTTTCAACAAAGGAACAAAAACATTAGTATATGTAATCCGTATAATCTCACAGCCAAAACAATCATGCCCAAACTTTTAAGGAACTTCAGCAGCAATATCAACCGGTATTCTGTAGCATCTTCATTCAAAGAAAAATGCAATATCTGACCAACATCAATGGCATACATGGAAATCACAGTGGACTTTTCCCTAAGAATCACAACTGTAGCTATATTATGGGAATGCTAATTAATTACATCAAAAGAAAGCAAAAAAAAAGGCTTACTTAGAAAGAGTATTAAATTCCATTTGGCACATAGGAATGGACCTTCAATTGCTACAATCAATAGCAAAGCATGACAGAAACTTAAATCTGCATTCCAATCCACCAAATGTCTTGTATTATCATAGAACCTAGAAGCCCTAATTATGGGGCTCCATTATGCTAATTTTTTTGGTATAATGAGTACCTTCCCCCTCACACAGCCCTTGCCTGTGTGAGTTTGTAATCTAAGACATGAGGCAACAAATGAAAACAAAGACTGATGGGAAACAAGGAGACAGTATCAGTCAGTGTGGTCATACATACCAATAGTCTGTAATTTTTTTGTAGACATTGTCAGGGGACGACGTGAAATAGAACAGTGAAGAGGTTTTGAGGATGCTATGGAGAGCTATTCCTTCATGTGAGGGCACAAAGAAAGCACAAAAGTGCTATTTTGAAAAATGTGATGTGTGTGCCATGGAGGCTAGCATCATGGACTGATTGAAGATGACAGAATCAGAAAAGTAGGGTGGAAGGGACCACATCAACCCCATGCTCAAAGCAGGACCATCCCCAACTAGATCATCCCAGTCAGGCCTTTGTCAAGGTAGGCCTTAAAAACCTCCAAGAAAGGAGATTCCACCACCTCTCTAGGCAACCTGTTCCAGTGCTTCACCACCCTCCAAGTGAGAGAGTTTTTTCCAATAGCCAACCTAAACTTCCCTTGCTACAACTTGAGACCATTGTTCCTTGTTCTGTTATCTGCCACCACTGAGAACAGTTTAGCTCTAGTTGATTTCTCCATACTAAATGAGAGATAATAGGTTGGAAACTGGCCATGAATGTCCCTGAAAGTGAAAGCAAACTGTTTATGATTCATATGAAAGAGTAAGAAGGGGTCAGTGAAGGGATGATAGGAGAGTGTCATGATCACAGGGATGATCTAAGAAAATGAACTTTGCAGTAGCATTTTCAAAGGATTTGAATA